GCTTGGCATAGCTTTCCAACATGCATTGGTTCACCGATCCTACTCTACAAACAATAAAGTCTATGTCTATAACTGCTTCAGTCATGGCTCAGGGCCAAAGGGTTTGAGATTAGCAGCAGGTAGGTCTTATGGCTGTAAAATCAATTTGTGGCTTCGGGCTGAGGAGTTAACTTTACGAGCTGATGCGGCTGAGACTTTCAGGATCTTTGGACTGCAGTCCGTAGAGCTGAAAGTAGGGTTGAGCAACCAGCACTTTTGGGGGGAAAGTACTCAGTTTCCCAGCTCCCAGACCAGCTTCACAGACTAGAAGTTCCAAGCAACGCAATCAGTCGATCCCAGCACTACCTCGAAGTCGAAGCCCTGTGACAGAGGCAAGAACAGGAACTGATAACTTGTACATGACATTCGAAACCGCGAGGCTTACATGTCTTGAACCCTAGGCTTGGAACCCTGAGCCGTAGAGCCACATGACACAAATCCAATCAACAACCGAAGCAAGCAACCATGAAAGTCGAGACCCCTAGCACTCGGGCTGCCACACTCTCGCGACACAGGAAGGGCAAAAATGGCATCTCCGTCGCCTTTGCGTGGTTTCGGTCGATGGTCATGCAGACGCAAACACGATCTTGAGGGACCGGGATCAGCACAAACCAAATATCCTTTGCAAAGCACCCCTTCCCATGCCCAAACCGAAAGCAGAAAGATCTCCAACCTGATTGACTCTTTTGACGGCCCTTCCGATTAACACTCCAACACTATCTGCAAACGAACTATACCCTTTCCAAGCTGTCGATCGTATTAGTCTTCATCCTAGTCCCCGAATGCATGGCATTGCGCAGAGCCCCTCGGATCTCCTGCAGAGCAAGTGTCGTTTTTCGAGAACTCGATAGAACTCGCTTGCAAGAGACGCCCTAAACCCTAAAATACAAGCAAGCCTGAAAAAAACAGAGAGCAGAAACAAGCTGCACAAGCACAGAACACCCCGACGACCTTAAGCGTTTTGGTGCTAGACTCATGATGGCCTCTTGCCCGTGCCGACCTGGTGTCGGTCACTCTGCTTTGCATCTCAGATTTCGGGGCTCTGGGAAGCGGTCGGGCTTTCTCAAAGATGGAGTGGTAGTAACAGCTAACAATAGCTAACAGTCTTACAATAGCAACGACAATGCTAAACAATAGCAACTGATGACAGACGGCCTTGAGAAAGGGCTTGTGCTGTGCATCTATGCAGCAAAGTACACGAAACGCCAAGGCCTGAAGGTTGGTTGCTGCCGGGCCCCAGACTGCAATACCAGGGCTTAAGACTTCGGGTGCCGGCTGAGACTGAGTAGGGTTGGGCCATCACTGCTTTCGCGGGTTACGATGCCACGAGCACAGACTCTGTAGAAGCTGTGCAGCCGCTGGACCTCCAATCGTCCGAAAGTTCCATAAGCCCGGCGCTCTTCTCGGTACCAAAGGTGACAACGCGCAAAAACCCTAGAGCCCAAGCAAACCCGAAATGCCGAACCCTCTGCACTTGGGCGAGCACGCCCGCCGACGGCAATGGAAGCTGCAGCGCTGACATGACCTTTTGCGGCTTAGGATGCTTGGGGACCTGGGGCGCTTGTGATCCCGACGTGCCACTCAGAATCACTTGATCTACGATGGTGGGGAAAAAGTGCCAAACCCGCAAACAGAACAGCCTCCACCGACTGAAGCTGTCGAGGATGAAACGCTCCAGGTCTGAGTCTATGCAGTTCCGGGGCTTCGATTATGGACTTCAAGAACTTCTGAGAGCACATGTTGTGAAGCTCGGGTTTGAGGGACTCAGGGCTTGATGGCCTTTGCGAAAACTTGTGAGGATGCAGTCCTGAGCGGCTGAGCACTGGCCACTGTATATGCAGTCATTGTCTGACGGGACGCAAATCACTTTTTTCCTTTGGAGTTGCGTGCGTATCCTTGAGAAAATGCTGTGGCACGACCAACTCATCCAGTGCTTGGCAACTCGTGTCGCAATACACCACAAATCAAAGTGAACCCTTGGCGCAAACCCTTAACCCCAGATCAACACCCAACCCGAAACCCCTGAACCCGACCGAAACCCCTGAACCCGACGCTGGGGCGCGTCCGGAAGAAGGCTCTAACACCCGACTGACTGACCAAAGCGCCGCTGAATTTAACTTACGAGTAGTATCGGGTGGAGGACTTACCAGAGTTGAGTATCCACGGGCAAAGGCCAAGGGCATAATCAGTCCAGGAGTTCGCGACAATCGCGTTTGCTCCTGATGCCATCTACTTCTGCGGAGCGTATCGGGACAGGAATGCAGAACGGAAGAAATCCTAAGATCTTGGCCCAGAAAGAAGACCCGGCATCCCTCGTGGACGCCTTCGCCTTCTACCTCGCAAGGGCCCCCCCCCTCCCGGCAAGCTGTCATCCTTTATCGACTCCGAGTGTAATCAGTCTTTGAAGTCTCTTGAAGTCTGTTGGAGATCTGTACAAGCGGGGATTGTCACCTTGAAGCTGAGCTAGCTGTGCAAGAGTGGCTCTTACTACTACCAGGTCTTGCTCAGCTCCCGGGTTAGTAGCTGTGCATGTAAAAGTCTAGTCGGAATTCCTCGGGCCGGAGTGTGCACTCCTTCTGAACCCCGACAGATGCCTATGGCATGAAGATTAGGATCGGCTGGTGGCACAGGTCGTGCTAAGGCAGCCTTGGATTTTGCACCGAATTAAGGCCGCAGGACGCAAAGAGGCTCGGGGAAGAGTGCCGTGTGCTGCAAGCTGCAGCTTTCGAGATCTGAGATCTGGTATCGGAGACTATCTGGAGGTAGGTCGTCGGCTTTCAGTAGCCTAGGCTGGGCTAGATCGGCCCCCAGATGCAGACATGTCAAGGGGGTTGACCAACAAACGACATCCAGCGCGGCAGCCTCTGCGTCCCTTGCAAGCCAGTGACTACTCTACAAACAACCGTTCTGTCGGTATGTACTTCAGGTCCTCACGGGAACAAGGTTCTCCTTGGCGGTTGGAGGATGCGGCTCTGGAGCAGCAATCAAGCAACCTGTCTGCCTCAGGCCTGGTTTATAACCTGCAGGTGCAACGACACCACTTAGTCCGTAACTGCTGAAGACTGATGAGGCCCCACCTTCGACCCCGTTCTGGGATTTTGTTCTGAGTACGCACTGCATCCGACATTCGGCTTCCCTCTTGACACGGCGGCCCTGCTCAGCACAGGTCCTTGATGCGACCAACAACACTGGAATAATGGCTTGACAAGTTCCGAATTTCATCAATAAATGCCAGCACCAAAGCAGGCAAGCAGGCCTTGAAGTAACAAAGTCTCTGAAGCCCCTCTCACTCATGAAGTGTCAAGTCTCAAACACCGAAACCTGTGACTGCAGCCATGCCGGGTGAACCTCAAAGCCCGAACCGACAAAGTACCCCCCGGAAGCGGCACGGCCTTCCCTGCAGAAAAGCATCGCGTTAGTCCTCTTCCGTGTAGAGGCTGGCCTAGGAACGTCGGGGATTTGGAACCTCGGGTTTAGGGTTTTTGGGTCCAGGCAACAGGATTTATGGCTTTCGTAAGTGCAATGGATTTGGGGTGTCGGGTGTTGGGATGCCGCCCAATCGCAACGGGCCGACAACACCACCCCAGGCTGCACGCCACTTTGCGACAGACTTTGACTTTAACCGGTGTGTAAATACTATAATAAACTGAACGAAAGCCCAGAAGGAGCTGCAGGACAAGAAGCTTGACACTTTGAAGACCGACCAGCGCAAAGCCACACAACAACTCATCCAGCCTGGTATCACCTTATGCTGGGCACCTGTGAGCGCTTACAGTACATGCACTAGGAGGTGCTTTTAAAGCCTTTGAAAAAGATTAGTAGGTAAGATCCTCTTAAGCCCAGTAAGAGCAAACATAAAATGTCCCAAAGCCCTACCTACGCGCAGGTCCCCTGAGCTCCCCGGCGATGAGCCCCCGCAAAGCCGAGGCGGTCTTCGTCTGGTCCACTTGGAGGCCTCGGCGGGCAGAGGTGCCTTTGTGGGGATCGGCGTCGACTCGGGTTCAAGGTATGATGTCTACGTAGTTCAGGGGATAGCACTGGGGCTTGGGGTGTCGAGGGCATAGTGCGCTATGGACCGATCGAGTCATTCGGATGTTCTAGAGTAGCTCCAGTAGGAGCGTCAGCTGCCTTGTCCGCAGCTTCCTACCAGCCGGCAACGCCTCTCAACCTTGTCCTGGAATCCCGAAAGCTACTCATAGGCACCCAGGCTACTCCTGCCTTGGGACAGTGATTAGTGAAGACTACATGCTGCAAGGCTAGCTGTGACTAGCGACTAAAGTTGTCTGAAGAAAGCCAGGTTTGTCGACTCAAAGCAATAGTAACAAGCCTGCAAAGCCACATCTAGGTGGTTGTCAAAGTTAGGGTCCCTTTTTGGGTACCCTAAAGATTAGGTGCCGTATTATAATACAAATTATGATATGGACCCAAAAAGGGACCCTAATTTTGACAACCACCCATCTGCAAAGTCGAAGTCCCTAAACCCTCTCCCAACCTTCTACCAGGATGCTTCGGCTCTGAGCACCCCGCTGCCCTCTGATCTCTTCACCAGGTGAAGCTGCTCGCCCTTAAGAACGGCCACCTTGTCGAACTCACCTCACAAGGGTGGTTGTTAAAACTAGGGTCCTTTTCTGGATACCCTAAGTCATAGGTGCCCTATTATAGTAGGGACCCAAAAGGGACCCTAATTTTGCCAACCACCCGCAACAAGCATCCTCTTGGTCTGGGCTTCGGTGCTGACGCCGTGTCCGGAGAGCTGCCATCACCGACAAAAATCAAGTTCAACACCCTAGCATAGGGATGATACTATAATTCTAATAAGGAACCCCCAAACTACACCCTAATGTAGGGGCCCTAATAATTAGAATAGGGTTTTGGGGGCCCCTTTATGCTAAAATTTGTTTGAGGAACCCACAAAATAGAATTGGCAATTAGTAACTATGAATTCAGGCCCCTGCAGTAGCTCAGGATAGCTGTGACTTGCAGAGGGAGGGCAGAAGGTGACAGTCGAGGCACAATCGAAGGCCCTTTCGAGGACTTCGCGCCTCAGATGAAGTGAGCAAGCAGCGAGGGGGTGTCGTGGCATGGTGTCACGGTATCTGACTCTAAAGCAGTAACATAGCCACACTTCCGACTGTCGACGGAATCATCTGAAGAGTCGTCCGCCGCCCTGTATTGAGTGAAAATATTAAAAATTAAGTGTGCTCGCCAGGCATCTGAGAGTCTTCGGTGACCTGGCAGGCGTCGCGAAAGACAGAAGCTATGCGGTCAGAGAGCTCCAGCGAACTCTTGTCTAACATAGCTCCAGACCACGGCTCCGCAAATCTGATCTTAAACGACGTCAAGTCCCTAAACCCCGCACCCAACGAGAGTTTCAAAGGTTGGATGCAGGCCTCCACCAGGTATCTGAGCTCGGCATCGGGGTCCGAGCTCCGAAGCAGGCAGCCAGGGCGTTGTCGCACCAGCTGGTCCACGCTGCTGTCCTGAGCTCTGCAGTAGATAACCGGAAGGGAGATGTTCAAAACCACAGGGGTGGTGTTCCAAAGCGATGTTACATGTAGTGAGTATATGGTCATAGTAGCAGCAGCAAGTGTACGAGCCAGCAGCATGGAAGTGGTCCTGTAATTACTGCTGTGGTGTGGTCTTCGAAGGCACAAAATGGGAAATCCCAGAACAGGGCCGCACATTGCCGAGCCACTTCTCTGCACTTGCAGTATCCGCGCTTGTAGTCTCGCCTCACGACCTCGGGGTGGGCTCGTGGAGGTTGAGGCTGATGGGGCCTCTGGGTATAGAGGTTGTTCAGGGCTTGGGGCGGTGTCGTGACAACGCTGCACACTAAAACTAGCAGCAGAAACAATCGCAGTGGGAAATCCGTAAGCACGACGAGTATGTCGTGCTGCGGTGTCGCTGCATTGCATGGGCTACGATGGCTTCATTCGCCGATCCGAAAGTCGGGACGCTTGGCATCCGCAGGGCTTAACACTTAAGCCATGAGCACAGCAGACCCCACTTCGACTTGATACTACAAGCTTAATCCATCTGGATGCAGAGCATGGGCCTAGGCCGTAAATGCCAAGCCTGTAACGCACACCCTCAAATCCAAGACTTTCACACCTGCAAACCCCGAACCCTGCACCGTTGATCCTGAAAGCCCTCACGTACAGCTCCGCTCCGACCTGGAGGACTCCTTCGCAGAACTCCTCCTTGGAGACCTCCAGCTGATCGCATAGGCGGCGCCTTGGCAGTGAACTGGGTTTGAGATTTTGGCTTTGGTCGCGACGAACCTTTCAGGTCGAGGGATTAGATTGGAGGAAATGCCCATTGCTGTAGTTGCAGTGGCTGCGTCAGGTTTGGGTCGTTTGAACCTCAGCCGGAACGATTGTTGTTGTCCAGCTGACTTTCGGGCAGGCATAGGACTGGGATAGGCTGGAAAAGATTCGGGCGAGCATTTTAGGTGCATTCCCACACTGCTGGAGTAAGGAAGCAAGACTGTAACTTACTGTGACTGCAAACTCCACCCGACTACCCGCAAGATGCGTTCGACTTTAGCTTTAGCCCTCAACCCATACATTGAACTCTCTCAGCACTGAACCCTCAACCTTGCGAGCCCCTTCACCGAATTCTGTCTCGTACACAAGGCCAAGCCACAGAGGAGCGAAATCGCAACCGCCGAAGCGGTTGAAGGTGTAGAGCCTCGAGGCAGCATGTCCGCTTGCTTCGCGCATGACCACTGACTGCTCGTGCGTTGTCTTGCATGTCTTGTGCCAAAACTCACCCTAACTTGCATTTACGCTGGAATCTACCCTGCAACCTTCTTGCCAAAGCAGTACAGAACGAGAAAGACCCCGCGCCGAATTACAATCAGTTGAGCAGCAGCCCCTGGTGCGCGAGGAAGCCATCCCCGTCCGCTCGCTGGATGTCTCCGACGAAAGATCATTGAGCTCGGCCCCTCAGTGAAGGGCCGAGCTCAATGATCTTTCCTCGGGCCAGAAAGTCATCAACACTGACAGCGTTTTGTTTAGTGGTGAACATTCACTCCGCGTTCGTTGCCGAAGAAACTAGATAAGGCTGACATGCCCTGGCCCTCACCAAGCCGACGTCATGACTAGTTTGAGCCACATGGTGGTTGGCACCCCAGCGACGTAAACGCATCTCCAACGCTACTAGTAGCATCTGGCATCTCAACGTCTTCGCACAAAGCTGCAACACATGTCTGTCCCAGGTGCCCGACTACCGACTGTTTTCAGATGTCTCGGCTCTGCGATCGAAATTCCGACGATTCAGGTCCGCTAAGCCCAAAGCCTTGAACAGTGAAACGTTTAGTTTTGGAGGGCCGTGTATTACACATTACCCTTATTACAAAGCCATACTTTAGCCGGCTCAATCACAGACTGTGATAAAACCACCATACACCGCGAAACTATTAACCCCACACACGACCCTTGGAGTTGACCGCTCTGACCATATCCCGACAACCTTTTGCCGTAAGCCTACTAGCATCTTTCGGATACAACGATGTACAATAACCAAGTCATGCGAAAAGAGCACAAGAAGGAGCCCTACCAGCTCGCTACCCGGAAGGCACATTGGCCCAACCGCAGGCGTCATCGGCGCCCAGGGTCAAACTAGTCTCTGAACAGGAAAGCCTCACGACAGTGAGGCAAGGGGCTGGGCCGGGATAATAGCTATAAGGCTATGTGGAGGCTATATGGTCGAGCAGCTATGCCGCTGCCAGTTCTAAGCTAGACTTTGCTGGACTAGAAGATTTGCTAGGGCTTAGGATTTTTAGCGGGATCTAGGACTCGGATCTGGGGTTTGGTTTAGTCCGACCTTGTTCTCAGCGACGGAAGAAACTCCTAATACATGAAATAATGTATGTGGCAATGCATACGGTCCAACCTGCGGAGACTTAATAGTGACCCTACTTCAACCGAAATCCTCCAAACCGTGCAACCGCACAAAACCCGCTCAGCTCCTTCAGAACAAGTGTTCGAGAAGTGGTTTGGCAAAGGTCGATGCTTGTCGGAAGGAAACACAGAGCCCGGAAAGAAGGTGCGCAACCGTTCACAAGCACGTTCAGCATGTGGTAGTACTCGGAAATATGCAGCTGCTCCTCTATGCATGTATATATCTATATACAACTATTATATACATATGACTCACATGACATATATATATATATATATACATATGAAAGCCTACACCCCCTTTGACAAAACCTTAGACCTGAAGTCTGTAACACACCTCTTGCAATCGCACGAGCGGCCTTCCAGCGCCTGCGCTGCGCCTGTTCATATGAGACTCTTGGGGCGCTGGGAAGAGGTCAGGCTTTCTAGCAGTAGTAGCCGCAAACAACGATGCCATCGCAACAACAATGCCAGCCTCGATGTGTCCGTTAAATCTACCGACGTCCCGATTGCACCTCATCGGCCGAAGGCACTTCTTTGCAAAGATCGATCGTGGGCTTCGCCAGAGTCATGACCTGCCGTTACGAGCAGGTTGCCACTTGTTGTTCATGCTCACCCTCCGAACACATCGCCATGCTTCCGAATCCCATGCTGCCGCCCGGCAGCTGTGAGCAAAGCACCGAAACATGTAACCAAGCCTGTGCCGGCTTTGGGACTTCAGTCATGACGAGCTCTGGAGCAGCCTGAGTACAGGAGGTCTTCCAGGTTTGGACAAGATCTCGCCCAAGGGCTTCGTACAATCCAGTGCTGGGCTCCCTCTTGGCTTTTCTAGAGAAGGGTCGAAGCCTGCATCCAGCAGCAACTCATTTTGAGTATTCCTATTCTTTCCTTGAACCCTTATGGCTTCTATGCGCCAATGAGAATACCATCCTTCGTACTTTTCTGATTCGTGCTGTTGGCAGTGATGCTACCAGTATCCATGCTTTGGTGCTTCAGTGGCACAGAAGGACGCCCTACAATTTCAGGTTTCTCGCTGCTAGCTTCTTCCGAGTCTGGGGCCGCTGCATTGGCAATGCTTGATGTTTGGGGACCTTGGCCGGTGGGCATTGTGGGTGCTGGCGGGGAGGGGATTCGTAGCTTACCTTACGACTCGAAATCCAAACCCTTGAATATGCTGAGCTTATCGCCACCATGGTCCGTTCTCAGTCTCAGGGTTGGGACGAGATCGCTTCGCATGTTGCTGAAATCGTGGCCGGCTGGGTTTGGGATCCAGGTTCTCAGAGGTTGGAACTGGGTCATTGCATGAACACTATAGTCATTAGAGTCGTATTCACTCATTCTTGTTTGTAGGTTGCCGTTCACGGGATTCGACGTTCTTTCTGACTAGTCTTTGCTGATGCCTGATCTGTGAGTAAATCGACCTTGGAACCCGACCAGAAAGAATCCGAACGTACCCTGAACCGTGTCAATCCTTGTCCTGGTCGAGAAGAGGACAAGGACATGTCAGCGCTGCACCCGAAATTGCTGCCGGCTGGCTGAAGTAGCCCATAAAGGCGCAGAAGTCCTGCAGCACTTCTTGACAGGGTCTGCTCTGCTTTCGGACCTTTCGTCAGTGGGATTTAAGACTTTGCGCTCATAAGCTGATGAAACGTCGCTGTGGGGGTGCACTGTCTTACATCGAAATCCATCCAAAAAGGGAACATAAAAAGGTAGGCGCAAACAACACACGACTCCAACTTTCGTGATGCCCCAAACTCCGAAACCGTAAACTCCGTAAGCCCCTCTCACAACAAGTCCTGACCATTAAGGATTTCGGCTCTAGTCGCATCCCTCTTACAACAAGCCCTGAGCATTTGAGATTTCGAGTGTAGTCTTGAGCTATCCAATCTATCCGTCCCTGATGGGCCTGAGTATCTAATTATCATATATTCTCCCAAGTACAAACCCGCACTATAATCCTGAAGCCCACGTATCTGATCATCATGTCCTCTGGACGCCTACGGTATTCTTCTTTGTGAGTTCCGAGCGGTTCCAGGTCTTGAGCCACGTACAGTCTTCAGTCGTTTAAGGTGTAGGCTTAACTTCCTTCCTCCTACACTTGATCAAGTGTTGTGGCCAAGTTATAAAACTGTCCTTGCAACTCGTTTGGCGTTTGAGGGGTCGGTGTCTTGTTCTTTTTGGCGCCCAGCCTCCTTCCTAAGCATTGCGCGCTTCCTGATTACGGCTACTCCTGACCAAAGTTTATGTAGAAGCTTCGGTCAGAAGCCACGTTTCTAAGTTTAGGCCTCACCTTTTTTCTGACCATGAGTGGTCTGGTGTTTACGCCCAGGGCCGAACCTGATTGGTAAACATAGCCTGTTTGATCCCTCAGGCCAAACTCGAACACTGAACGGTACCCGTTGCAAACCCGAGAATATGAGCAATACGAATCATGATATCGCCTGGGTTTTACACATCTTTAGCATAGATAAACAAAGACGTCTTGCCAATCAAAAAATCCTGGCCAGAGGAGATATCAAGTTCGAACTTGCTGTTTGATGATAAGCCGCTTGCACCGAATGTCTGCGCATGCGCTGTATTGCTAACACTCGGGGACTGCGGGGCTACATACCTCATTCCTCAGCAGCACCTGCTTCAAAACTCAATTTACGGCCCCCACCTGAGCCCTGACTTGAGAACATTATCTCCTTGATGTAATCTGCTAAACAGCAATCATCGGTACACGTATATGAGAAAATCAAACCGGCAATCCATCTTCATTTCCAGCTTGTGTGCCCACCGATCCACGACTTTGGTATTCAGCAATCTCAGCATATTCTTGGCAGAAAGAAGTAAGTACACACATAAACCCTGATCGGATACCTAGAATCGAGTGCTACGACTGCGAGTATCCGGCAGCTTTGCTTTACTTCGCAGAGGCGGTGAAAGACGGGGCATGGCAGCTTGGACGAAACCCAGAATATCTGCAAAACGGAAAAAGCCCTCTTCCACTCCAAGGGTGGCCCGGTCTGATTGAAAGTAGCACGAACACGAGGAACTCTGCGCAAAGATGCAGGTCGTTGTTGCGCTTGGGTAAGCATAGGAACTCCTTCAATCCTATGCAAACCGGTTGGAGGTTTACGGCTTTGGGCCTTTGCACTTGGGGGTGTCAGTCTCGCTTGGGTGGAAATTAGTGCTGAACCACAACAATCAAACCTTTGCCTCGTTAAGAAAGACCAGAACCCCAATCCGGTTTGCGACATGTTCGAAATCCGTCCTCGTAAAAATCCAAGCCGCTCTGGAAGACCTTGGAATCGCCGTGTCTTGGGAAGGCAGGGGCAA